TATAGTCAAACAGAGCTGCCTGGTAAACTGTAGGCAGAGAGGGAGAAGAGGACAACAAACGAGGGGCTGTGACAAACTGTTCCGTCGGAGTTTCACCGACTCATCAGGCTGCTGAACCCTCAGACAGAGCTGCCCAGTAAACCGTAGGCAGAGAGGGAGAAGAGAACAAACAAGGGGCTGTATATATATATATTTATATATATATATCGTCACAAATATATCGTCACAAACAGAACTGCCCGGTAAAACCGTAGGCAGAGAGAGAGAAGAGGACAACAAACGAGGGGCTGTGACAAACTGTTTCGTCGGAGTTTCACCGACTCATCAGGAGGCTGAATATATATATATCCTAGGCTACCAGCCGGGCCGCCCAGGTTCCCGGTGGCCAGCCCGTGCAAGGACGAGGGAAGGCCCCAGCAAAAAAAAATAAAAAAAATCCAAATGTTATGGAGAAAAATAAACTGAACAACTTTTGCCTCAGGGTCACATCGAAAAAAAAACTATGTTATGGAGAAAAATAAACTGAACAACTTTTGCCTCAGGGTCACATCGAAATTCTTCACCAAATTTAGAATAAAAAATAAAATTTAAAAATATTTATTTTATTTTTATTATTTTAATTTTTTTCGGCCCGGCCGGGCAAGTGACCCCCGGCCACTCTGGTAGCCTAGTATATATCGTCAAACAGAACTGTGCAGTAAACCGTAGGCAGAGAGGGAGACGAGGACAACAAACGAGGGGATGTGACAAACTGTTTCGTCGGAGTTTCACCGACTCCCTTCTCCCTCCCTACACACACAATCAGTCTTACGTATGTCTTTTGTTCATGTTTTTGTCTCTGTTTTCCTCAGTTTTTTTGCCGAGTACCTTCTGTGTGTCTGGGTGAGTACCTTTAAGATGTGTGAAACAGTCCGCGTTAAGAGTGTTTGGAGTGACTGTAACACTATTATCCGGGGCGCTATGTTCGTGGTGCATATGGTCTATTGGTGATGACAGACGTCCGACCTGGATGTATTTCACTGCAATTACGTCCAGGAACGTATTTCACACTGGCTCTATCTTAAATGTACCTGCCCGCATTCACGGCCCGACCTGGATGTATTTCACTGCAATTACGTCCAGGAATGAGTAAAAAAGCCTTAGTTTGAGTGTGCCCAGAATTGTCGTGCCTGACCGGTACCAGTCTCAAGCAGGCCAAACCAAGCCAAGTCAAGCCAAGCGAAGACAAGTCCTATATTTAGCTGCTACAGTGCAGCGACTCGTCACTTGTTCAGTTGTGAGATGCGGAAGCGCTGCTGCTGCTTGTGCGTTATGGCTTACGGCAACTTGGGCACTGTGCACCTGAAGGAGAAGAGGGCGCTGGAGAGATAGTCCATAGCTAGGTTAGACGTAGAGCAGGACGACGATGGCCATAGCCAGCGCGGTGTGAGATACCTGAGTAGGTGTATCCAGGGGAACGATCCAGAGTAGAGAAATAGAGAGAGACAAGAGAGAGAGAGAGAGAGAGTGAGGCCGAGCGAGTCAAGTTGGAGGGAGAGAGAGACAGAGAAGGGGGATGTCATAGCTGATACATGGTTGAGACCCGCTGTGTGTGTGTGTGTGTGTGTGTGTGTGTGTGTGTGTGTGTGTGTGTGTGCGGCAGAGCCGCTGGGGACAAACATTCTTGTATATTGAATAATATTGGTGACGATATCTTCAAGTGTGGATTGTATCTCCATTTGGCTTCTCGCGTGTGAACTCTCATGTGGATGTTCATTGGTGTATGCAAGTTGATCTTGACGAGTGTTCGGTTCATTTCAATGACGACAGTGTGGAGCGAATAAAGTCTAATTATGCAAATCTACTAATACGATGACAGCTGATTGAGTGAACTAGCTAAGTGCCCGCGGTGGCGGTGAGCGCTACGCCCGCAGAAATAACAAATGCAGTCAGCGACCTCACACTGCATTTCGGATGGCTCGCCTCCAAGATGTTCGTCCACAGAAACGACAACGGCCTACCCGGCGGCACAAAATGACAGCCGTGCAAGAAATGAAAAAAGGAAGGAAGGAAAAGGAAAAAAAACAGAAAAAGCGGGGACACACAACGACAGGCGCGAGAAATGAAAAAAGGAGAAGGGGGACACAAAACGACGGCCAACCGGGGAAAACAAAACGAAAAAAAAAACGCCCACATATCGGATGGCTCGCCTCCACGATGTTTGTCCGCATCAACGCCAGCCCTGTGCCCCGCTCCCGGGGCGCGCAGTGAACATTTCGGTACGCGCACCCCTCTGCGCACTCCCCCGCCCTCGGTTGCCTTCATCCGCCGCCCCTCACCAAAACTTCGACCCAAATCCAGCACGCAGCGCGTCATGGACCTCCCCCCCACGGCCAATGCTGCTTAAACCACCAGTACCTGGCCCAGCTATCAAGTCCGAGCCTCGGCCGACCGGTACGCCGATCCGTGTCGAGGCTCGGACTACCGGGCGCAGGCATCCCAAACGTTGGCGTGAAAGGCACGAAAAAAACGGGAAAAAATAAACGAAAAAAAAGAAAAGAAATAAGAAAAACGAACGGGTTCATTCCCGCTTTGCGTCGGAAACGCCTTCTTTCTTTTATTGTTTTTCTGTAGTAGTGTCGTCCCTACAGAACCGGGGCCCGGCCTTCGCGCTACGACCGGGCCTTCCCTTGGCCGACCCCCCTAAGGCTGCGGCGCGTATACGGGGAGGCCCGCGGCCGATAGCTGAGCGAGGTACTGGTGGTTTAAGGGATAGGATGAGGAGAGGGAGTGCAACATAACAGGCAAGGAGAATAACGAGGCCGGCCCAAAAAGAGAAAAAAAGGGGGAACAAGGCTTTTTTTCCTGATATGAGCGAACAAAGCTGGATAGCAAAAAAAAAAAAAAAAAAAAAAAAA